TACCGCCGTGAGCCACTCGCCTCTCCCTCTTCCCACAGGCCACTCCCCTCCCAGCCCCTTCCTCTTCCTGCAAGTCTACCACCTCCCTCGAGCGGTCCCCTCTCCTGGTCCTGGCCACCCTCCACCCGCAGCGGGTTGTCTGCAGCCCCCCTCGGGAACCCTGCGGAATGAGCTGAACCCCCATACCCTGCTCAGGGCAGCTCAGTGGATCGGGCAGTGGGTAGATTCCTGCTTCTCTTTTTCCACGGAGCCAGAGCCACTTAATTTTTCTGTCTCAGTTTCCTCCTAGGGAAACGGAGGGGATGCTCGCTTTCTCTTTTTACCTCAACAGGCATGCCTGTCCGAGGTGATTTTCAGTTTACTACTGACGGAGTGAAGTAAAACCTCCGAAGTGTCAGGCACTGTGTAAAAAGGTCGCTGCAATAGTTGGAAAAAAGAGAAACTCCCAGAACTACTAGGTGCCCTTCCCAAGCCTGAAGGGTGGAGGTTTATAATTCCAGACAACGTATGGAATTATAAACATTCCCCCTTTCTGGAAACCTAAGGGAAGACTGATGAAACTCTGGTGAGAAGATGCTCTAAGTTCTTGTGTCAGCTGTTCTGCCCAGGGCTGGGTGTGGTGCTTTGCCTCCTCTTGTGGCCAAAGACAGGGAATTACTAGGGTCAGTAATTGAGCTGGTTCAGGACAGAGATGGGTATTTATGGCGGAACCTCTCACTCTGTGGCTGCTGAAATATTTCTGGCTGTTTGTTTGGAGACTGGGCTTCCATTCCTGGTTCTGACGCTAACTAGTTGGGAAATCCAGGCGCAAATGGCAGCTTCTCAGGTAGAAGGAGGGAGTTGGTCCCTTTCAATGTGAACACTACGATTGTGTGATCTCCCCGCCTGAGCATTTCCAGGGTCAGGGAGCCCAGCACACCACGAGAAAGGGTCTTCCCAAGTCAGGTCCACAGGTCTCAAGTAGGAAGAGCTCTTCCTTCTGAAGACCAGTCTGCCTTCCCTTAGCTCCCCAGGCCTTGTTCGCTCCTCTGAAAGACAGAGTGTATCTACTCTTCCATACCACGGCCACTCAAGAGAGTCCCCCGTGGATGAGCCCAGGTGGAGTGTGGGTGGGTGGGAGGCCCTGGGAGGGATCTCCCTTCTCTCCTCCTTGGCCACCATCCTGTTAACCTGGTAGCCAGTGGAGTCCACTGCACAGATTAAAACCAGAGAGGAGAGACTTCCCTGGCGGTCCAGTGGTTAGGACTCCACGTTTCCACTGCAGGGGGCACGGGTTCCATTCGTGGTCAGGAAACTAAGATCCCGCATGCTGTGACATGGCCAAAAAAGAACAACCCCAGAGAGCAAAGCAGTTGCTTTGTGACCCTCAAATGAATGGCCTCCCATCCGCCTCCCTCACCCCCCAGCACATACTTTTCCTTTACCCCAAGTGAGCTTTCTCCTCAGAGACCGGAAGCAGTTTGCCATAATTATCATCTCACACCTGGCTCCCAGCCTCTGTCTCCTATTGGCTGTCTCATCCTTAGCCATCAGTTCCTGTGTCAGTTTCTTTTCCCTTCTAGATGAATCTTCACTTTCTGACTGGGTTTCCTTATTCTTTGTTTCCTTTTCCAAATGGACCCTTCTCCAGAAGAATGTTCTCAGCTTCCTAGTCCAGAATTGGCTTTCCGTTTCCCTAACTGTTGTTTTTAACAGGGGTCCAAGCCTGGGCACTGATGGATCCCTCGTACCTTCTTCTCAGCCTCCTAGAACCCTGAAGCCCACCTGCTGGCAGGGTGGCTTGTCATGCCAGGCTGTCCCATCGTATTCTACTCTTTCCTTGATTTCCTTTTGGAATGAGATTTAGACAGTGGCTGTGCTTTCTGGCTCCTGGTCCCCCATCCTTTGTTTTTAAGAAGCTCAGACATCATGCATCAAAGTTGTGTCTTGTCTTATAGGTCTTACTCCCAGCCATTCCTCTGGAGGGAGAGTGGGGAAGGAGGGATTAGAAAGCACAGCAGTAAGAAGAGGGTTGCTAGCCTTCCCTCGCATACACCCTGGCATACAGCAGCAACCAGAGCCCCAGCTTGGTTCTGCTTCCCAGCAAGCCACCCTGCCTCTCTGTAGCAGCCCCTGCCAGCTCACTGCACCACCAGCCTTCCTGTCATCTGTAAGGCCAGCCTCCGTTACCAAGAACCTTTCATTTGCCTGTCCCTGTGTGACTGCCGCCCTGATCTGGTGCTGGGAGAAATGTATGGAGAGCTGGTAGTTACAAACTCCAGGGTGGTCAAGTAATGACAGGGAGCGTGCTTCCTGCTTCTTATGGAACAACCCCGTAGTTTGAGATGCGTGATATGCAGTTTGGGCTCCATCTGTAGAAAAAGATACAACCACATTTGGAGTAACTTCAGGGAGAAGCCACCGAAACTGTTCACGGATAGAAGAATGGGTCCCTTGGACAAAAGAATGAGAGCTGTTTACTCACTCACGCACTTATTTATTTATTATTATTATTATCATTAATTTTTTTTTCCTTGCGTTATGCGGGCCTCTCACTGTTGTGGCCTCTCCCATTTGCGGAGCACAGGCTCCGGATGCGCAGGCCCAGCGGCCATGGCTCACGGGCCCATCCGCTCCGCGGCATGTGGGATCCTCCCGAAACGGGGCACGAACCCGCGTCTCCTGCATCGGCAGGCGGACTCTCAAGCACTGCGCCACCAGGGAAGCCCTTATTTATTATTTTTAAAAATAAATTTATTCATTTATTTAGTTTTGGCTGCGTTGGGTCTTTGTTGCTGCGTGTGGGCTTTCTCTAGTTGCGGTGCGCGGGCTTCTCATTGCGGTGGCTTCTCTTGCTGCGGAGCACGGGCTCTAGGTGCGCAGGCTTCATACTCACTCATTTAAACAAATATTTGTTTAGCATGTAGCTCGAGCAGGGCATTGTGCTTGGTCACTTAGATGTGGTGATGACTCTGTTATGGTTTCTGCCTCTCACAGCTTTCCCTCTAGGAGGGGAGTTCAGGTGCGTAAATGAGAATAATTGTAATAGGAGACAACCGTTAAGTTTTACAGAGGTAGAACCTACGCGTTGCTGTGACACTTCTGGAAATGGGACACAGCTCTTTCAACTAATATTTCATGGAAGTGGTGACATTTTAGGAGATCTTGAGGAGTTGGTAAGACTTTAGTGGACGCAGAATGAGAAAGCTATTCCAGGCAGAGAGGGCAGCAGAAGCCAAGACCAATAGTCAAGGACAAGTTAGTGTTTGGAAATGTTGAGCATCTGGGTTTGGTGAAGCAGAGGGTGTGAAGGAGGATAGGGGATGGTGCCATAGTATGAAAGACTTTGAATAACAACCTTAAAGGGTGGCATTTATTCAGTAGATCAGAGAAAGCAGTCGAAAGTTTTAGAATAAGGTAGTGTTGTAGAATGGATAGGGAAATAGTAAAACTGTTTAACCATACTGTACTTTGGTATGGATGGTGGTGCTGGGATGGGTCGGAAGGTTCCTTACTGTGGCTGACATTAGTCTTTAGCTGCTGGGTCATGGAGCTCTCCTGAGGACAGGTCAGGCCTCTAGTGGGACATTCAGAGGGCCTGGGGCAGTCACTATATACCAACACGTTCATAAGTGTTCCAGTATTTTGAGAACTGGCACAGGTGTACCGATGTGTACTGGCTGAGAGCAACCCCGGGCCCAGACTATTATTGGAAGTTAAAGACCCCGGCCTGGCAGCTTTTAATGAGCTATACCCATTTGTTCAGACTGGATTCGCTACATCCTGCCTGAGGGCAGAGGTCTGGACTAAAATGGTTTCTAGGTTCTTTGCTCTATAATTGACCTACTGCTGAGACCAACTTGGTGCTGCAACCAAGCGATCACAGCTGGCCACAGAGCCAGGGCCGAATGGTGGTGCACCCCAGCCTCTGCACATCTTACAAGGCTGGGTCTGCAATGTCCCCATTTAAGTGTCCAGTGTACCTGCTAAACCCCAAGGTGTTTCCAAGCCTGAAACTTATAACACATCTGTCCGGCTGGCCCCTGCGATTCCTAAGTGACTCCGAGTGGGCTGCGGTGGCATAGCCACAGATGTCAGGCGGGCCCTGTGGCTCCCGGGGTCACCACAGACATTCCGATTCGGAAGGGAGACAAACCCTCCAGTGACAGAGGTAGCTCAGGGCAGAACGGTAATCTGAGACGCAGGCCAGGAGAGAGGGAAAAACAGATGAGACAGATGTGTGGGCAGAGCGGGAAGGCTGTGGCTTAGAGCTGAGCCTCAGAGCAGAGGCAAGTGTGGAGGGAAGCACAGCCGCTTCGTGGGCCCCTTGGGCCCGGGAGCCTGTCGCATGTCGCCCTGGCTGGGCTGCCCCTCTTTCCCATGGAGCCTCTGGCTCCTTTTCCTTTGTCCTACTTACCTCTCTTTATGCTGCCAGTCTGGCCACCCGGCTGCTGCATGGAGCTTCAAGTCAGTAATCAATTCAGGGCAAACACTAGGCACTCAAATACCTTCTGGTTATGGATGGGAAGTTCTGAATTTCCAAGCACCTGATATTTTCCACTGGCAGATACTTTGCTTATCAGTGATGGATCCAAGAATAGAACCTAGGAATTCTTGTTCCTTGTACCATAATACATATAAACAGCAATAGCC